CTAGCTGGACCAAGGGAACTGAGCACCTGGCGTGCGGCAGGTGGCCAACCGTGGGCCGCTCAGGTGTGAGACGCAACCAGGGTTCTCCCTCGAGGAAACTCCATGAGGCTCCCTGGTGGGGTGGGGGGTCCCTACCATGCCTGCCCAGGTTGACACTTGCCCAGCGGTAAATGTGTGCTGTACACGTCCAATGTCAACTCAGCCTCTGTCGAGCTTTAAATGGTAAAAAACAAACAAGCAGCTCCCACAGAATTTGAAAACTCCAGCTTCTAGAACACAAGAGCTATAGCACCAAAAATCCACACGTGACTCAGGCCCAACCTTCACTTGGTCCTGTACCGGCGACGATCCAAGGGGACCCTGGAGCCCTCTGTGAAGCTCAACTCACTGCAGGCCGACATTTTTTAAGGGAAGAGATTCCTGCGAAACTGCAGTCTCCTGGGGGAAGGCCCCTTGGTAACGCCCCGGCCCAGCCTCTGTCTTTCCCGGGAAAGGCGCGCACAGCCGGAGGACGCTGCATCCTGGTCCCTGTTCCCTGGGCTGAGGGAAGGGATGCAGGTCACACACAGTGCATCACCGCAAGGCTTTCCCCTCACACCCACCTGCTAGCCCTGACTCAGGCCCATGTTCAGGTGGGGAAACTGAGGCTTAGCCAGGTTAAGTCACTCACCCAGGGCCCCAAAGACAGTTGGCAGCAGGACCCGAATCTGAACAGGGGACCTTTCTACGACGTCCAGAAACGAGCCTGCTCAAGCAGCCTCCTGGGTTTGAGCGGGATGGATGGCCCCGCAGCCAGAGGGAAGCGGACTCAGAGTCTCCTGTCCTGGCCTCTCCTGTCGGAGCCATTTCCTGGTGCAGAGACCTAGCAGGGTTCTAGAGCCCTCCAGGTCCCCTGGGACGGACAAGCCCTGGGTGGGGATGTGGCAACATCAGTGGCTTCCCGGGCAAGGCAGTGAGATGACGGAAGAGAGTCTTCCTTCATCGTGATTTCCGAGACGCAGGTATGATGCCTCATGCACGGCTTGTAAGAAATACCGTCGCCATCAGACAGTCTGTCTACTGCTCTCTCTCCGCCGGGTCACAACTCAACCGTCGGGGCCACAGGGGCTCCCACCTCCCCGTCCCCCAACTCAGCCACACTGGGACCAACACTTCTCTCCAAAGCCCCAGCATCTACAAGGCCCTCGAGGGACTGAGAGTGCCCAGGTGAAGGTGGTCTCTCGGAGGTTGAGAAAAGGCTGAATCAGCACAAAGGGCAGAAAAGCACATTCCGTCATTTTCAAACTGCTGGACTTTATGTTTTCTTAAAAAATAAAAATAAAAAAAAAATACGGACACCAGCTTGGCCATCTCCCATCTGCAGAAGCCAAGGAAACGAGAGACGTGTCTTGTGTTTTCCCGATGAACGTTCTGAGCGGGACTTCATCTGACACTCATTTGCCGACCTCTTGCTAATGGCCGGACACCAGCAAGCTGCCACGCGGCCGGGAAGCGGGAAGGGGATTGTGCAGGGCTGGGCTCCGAGTCCCCCGACCAGAGAGCCAGGGAGGGTGAGCAGCTGCCTTTGTCTCTCCCCAAAGAGCCGAACACTTCCCACCAACATGCGGCTTGTCAAAAGGCCAGCCCCTGGGTCCCACGTTTTGCGCGGCCGGTGGCGTTCAGACGGTTAGAGGTTAGTGTGGAGTCGCAGCAGAAACGGTGCTTGAAGCTCAAACAGCAGCCCCGCCCAGTCTGTACCTACCGCCCAGCAGCGTGTACGACGCAGAATTTTTCTGTTCAGCCATTGCTTCTAGGTAAGAGAATCAAATGAGAGACACTTAGGCCTCCACACCAATATCCTGCAGTCGCTCACAGATTAAAACACTGCACATGCACCGGCCATTTTCCAGAACACTCCGAACCTCACAGCTTGGTTCGTATCGCTGCTGTCTAAGGAAGCAGGGTGAGGCCCGGGCAGGGAGAAGCAGGTCACCAGGTCTAGACCGGGCCCTGCAGCCACCTCGATGAATGACCTCGGGCACTCCCCACGACCTCTCGCCCCCCTTTCCTGTCTCTCCCAGGGCTCGCTGGGGTCTGGTGGCGGAAGAGCTGAGCGAGTGCTTCCTGGGGGCCATCAATGTGAACGTGGCTCTGCCGAGCGCACCGAGGGCCTCCCGCACTTTGCCGCCCGCAGCAGAACAGAAGTGCAGTGGCCCACGCCAAGCGCAAATCATGACGCGGCTCCACGAAAAGCCTCAACTCTGAAGTCAGGTCCGAGGAGGTCCTCCAAACCCCGGCTGCTGAACGTTCCACTTGTAACCAGCGTTCTCTGCTTTCTAACCCACAGTGCACTAAAAACAGAAGCCAAGATGTGGGGGGTAGGCTCGCAGAGGGAGACACAGGGAGGCGACAGCTGAGGAAAAGTTCAACAGCAGACCCAGCTGGGTTCAGGTAAGCGGGGAGGCGGAGGTAACAGTTTCCATAAACACTCAAAATGAAGCTCTGCGCCTTTGAGCTACTGAGTGGGACGGCTCCTCCGCAGGGCCCACCAAACACAGCGCTGCCCTGCACGCGTGTGCACGCATACACATTCACACATGAACACGTGCGTGTGTGGGAATGTGTGTATACAAGTGTTCATGTGTGCGTGAATGAATGCATGCAAGCGTGGAGAGCATGCATGGGTGTGCATGAGTATGTGTTTGCCTGCATGTGTGTGCATGCACATGGATATGCACACGCATATATGAGCGTGCATGTCATGCCGTATGTGCGTGTGCTCA